GGGGGAAGGGGAAGGGGGAGGGGGGGGAAGGGGGGAAGAGTAGTTGAGACCTTTGATCGTGACACCAAGAGACAAGCAGAAAATGCATAAGGGGCATACTAACTGAGGAACTAATTGGACCGAATCTGGCCGTAATGAGGGGCTCATACATCCAGGAAAGTCACTAGAGTGACTATGCCCTTGGAGGTAGGCAAAAGAAATCGAAATGGTCGCAGGGATATGCCGGCCATCAGGCAAAGAAGGCATTCCTGGAGCCTTCCCCGAGAGTGATAGTGATGTCTGCTCCTATCAGCACCCTTAGCACCAGCTCGGGCTGTTCAAAAAAAAAAAAAAAAAAAAAAAAAAGAATAGCCATCATGATTGCTAAAAATAGCCATAACGATGCTGAAAATAGTAGGCATAACGATACTAAGAATACGCATCACAACGCTACAAATAGACAAACATACCGGTGCTAAAAATAGGCATAATGACGCAAGAAAGAGACATAATAATGCTAAAAATAGACATACAGAGCGGTGCTGAAAATAGACATAATGACATGAGAAAGAGACATAATAATGCTAAAAATAGTATACACAGCCCTGCTAAAAACAGATATAATGACAATAGAAAGATATCCTAATGCTGAAAATAGACATACATACCGGTGCTAAAAATAGACAATAACGCTAGAAAAAGAGACATACTAATGCTGAAAATAGACATACATACCGGTGCAAAAAATAGACAAAATGACGCTAGAACTAGGCTACCAGAGTGGCCCGGGACCACTTGCCCGGCCGAGCCAGAAACAAAAAATTAATAACAACAACACTTTTTAAATTTTATTTTTTGTTTTAAATTTGGTAAAGAATGTCGATGTGACCCCTGAGGCAAAACTTGTTCAGTGTATTTTTCTGCACAACATAGTTTTTTTTCGGATTTTTTCAATTTTTTTGGGTATACATTCTAATGCTAAAAATAGGCATACATATTGACGCTGGAGAGAGACATCCGGGACCTCACAATTCCACACCGAGTTACCCTGGGAGCCTTACGCAGTTTCGCTTATAGACAAAACAACGTAATTGGAACCGACCGCTTGCATACCAATCGCATTGTTAACACCCTGCCTTCTATCCCTACCTACTAAGTCCCTCTTTTTTTTTTTTCCTTTTTTTCTTCTTTTTTTTTTTTGAAACCAAAGCTCCCTCTATACCTCCTAAGTACCCATTCCTATCAAACACCCTACAAGAATGCAATCGCATTGTTAACACCCTACCTAAGTCCCTCTATACCGCCTACATACCCATTCCTATCTAAGACCCTACAAGAATGCAATCGGATCGTTAACACGCTACCTTGTATCCCTACCTAAGTCCCTCTATACCTCCTAAGTACCC